GATTTTTCTGAATCTCCCCTTTTTTAACACAACTCTCATTTCATTCAATTTTGCCATACTTTTTTTTTTGTTATTAAAGCTATACAGCAGAATCTTGCCTGAAAAATACTCCATAACATGTGAATATTTTTCCAGGTCACCGATATTGAACCTTACATCTATATTGAACATAACTGTGGCTATGAAGGCCTAGATCAGAAGGTTGTTCAACCAATTCTATAGAAAAATAAACTATTGGATATCTTTTAATTCAGCATTACTTCATTCGCGCAGTTCCTCCAGAATTTATTGTTGAAGGAAACTTTTCAAAAAAAACTTATCACATGGGTGATATAGAGCTTCTCACAAAAGGTGCGTGAACTACTGTTCTTATGGATGTTTCATGTGAATATTTATTGTAGCAATGTTGTGCTGTTTCTAGAAGCACCCGTACAGCATTATCAACGTCGTTTGATTATTCATCCGGATGCATCATCTGGAAAACTGTCGCTACACCAACAAGTCTTACAGTGCATCCCACATTATGTAGCTTATAAGGATTACTATGAGAAGGCAAGGCAATTTTGCTTAAAGGTAACTATAGGGTAAGTTATTCCAATTTTAGGTAGTCGTCACTGGAGGAACTTTGGCTTACAACAAAACAGAACTTGAAAAGCAAGCGTGGGAAGATCTTATGCGCAGAATGTCTACGCCTATTCCTCCTTTGCCAATTGGTGGAGAAGTCCGCGAAGAAACTCATTACACTGAAAATCGTGTCGAAGCCTATGAACACAAAGAGACTCATGAAGAAATTCATGAAGGAGTCCCTCCAGAGAGAGCTGATGAAGAGAAGGAGCGAGAGCGAGAAGAGGAACAACGAAGAAGAGAGGAAGAGGAAAGGATTAGAGAGGAACAGAGGAGAATCGAGGAGGAACGCAGGGTGGAAGAACAAAGAAGACTGGATGAAGTACATAGGTTGGAGGAGCAAAGACGGATAGAGGAAGAAAGGCTTTTAGAAGAGCAAAGAAGGATGGATGAGAAGCGAAGATTGGAGGAGCAAAGGCGGTTGGAGGAGGAAAGAAGGTTAGAAGAGGAAAGGCGTTTAGAGGAGGAAAGAAGGTTAGAAGAGGAAAGGCGTTTAGAGGAGGAAAGAAGGTTAGAAGAGGAAAGGAGGTTAGAGGAGGAAAGGAGATTAGAGGAGCAAAGAAGGTTAGATGAAGAGAGACGATTGGAGGAGCAGAGAAGGCTGGATGAAGCTAGGAAACTTGAAGAAGCTCGTTTGAAAGAACAGGAGGAGCAACGTCGCTTAAAAGAGGAAGGACCCAAACCAAAGGGGCTTCCGAAAATAAATCATTTTAAGGAGGAAAAAGAGCGAGAAGAAGAAGAAGAGCGTTTGAAGGAAACCCAAATCAGACAGGAAGAGGAGAGAATAAAGTTAGAAGATGAAAGAAGGCGGCTAGAGGAGGAAAGAATCTTGGCTGAGGAAAAACGATTGAAGCAGGAGGAAGAATTGCGAAGAGAGGAAGACAGGCGATATGAAGAGCTTCGACGCAAGGAGGACGAGTTAAGAAGAGAGGAAGAGAGAATTCGAGAAGAAGAAAGAAGAAAGGAAGAAGAGTTGCGACGAGAAGAGGAACGCCGGAGAGAAGAAGACTACAGAAAGGAGATCGAGGCAAGGAGAGAGGAGCATAGACGGCGGCTGGAAGAGTTCAAAAAATTGGAAGAACAGAGGAAGCTTGAGATTGCAAAACTCGAGTTGGAACGAAAAACGTGGATGGATAAGATACGAGAACTTGAGGAAGGGCAGAAGAAAAAGCAACTAATACAGGTGATCTGCTCACGCGATAATGTCATTCGAACAACGGCTATCCGTGAATACACAGAAGGCGAAGATCCTTGTGAAATTTTTACAAAAACTTAGCACCATTAGCCCCTTTTCTTGATAATCTCCTAATTACAATGTGCTTTCGTTCTTTTTAATTGAACTGCCATTCAGTGCCAATGTGAATTATTCGTGAAATTAGGTTATGTTGTAATTTTCTATCAATAAATTTCCTAAATATAAAGTTAGTCAACATGATTTTAATCACAATTAAGTTGATAACTTGGCTTTGTACTCGGATTGTTCAAACCATAAAATAACATTGTTCGCAAATGACTCAATATCATGATAGACAAGATGAATCACTTTCACTCGTCGTCAATTGTTTTCGGAGAAATTCGTGTCTTTTCAGGTTGAATGTATAATGCATTCCTTAAATTGAAAGTGGAAACATTCTCGTGATTAAGTTCTTTGAACAAAATTTAATGTACTTTTAGGAAAATGGGCTCTATAAGCCGCGAAATATTGCATTATGAAAATAAAAGTATTTGTTTATTGTCTGAAGTAACTCTTCCAAAATTTGGTCAATATTATGATGTGTTTGTCGAACTTTTGATTCCATAAATAGTATTTTCAAATAATGTTTTTCATTCGAACATCAAACAATGCGTTACCTATTCCATACATAAAGACTATGTATATCGTATCTATGTAAAGAAAAGATTGAAAGAGCTACTTCTTGTTTGGATCTGGCTCCATTCCTTTGCTATATAACTATCAGGAATAAATTGTTGAGGATAGTACTGTAAAATTATCTACTAAATAGCGTGTAGTAACGCAAAACTAAGGTTGAGGTTTCACTCGCTATATAACTCGTTTTTTTATTAACAGCAGCTTTTACTTTATATTTGCACATGTACTTGAGCAGTAAATCGAAAACAGTGCATTTTCGCTAGTTTGAACAGCTTGTGAAGAGGGAAATTGGTCGGATTGCAGCCTACAGCTTCAGTTATCCTCAATGCCCAATTACGTACTATCCTGCTTCATGCTATGTGGACTATTTACTGCAGTCAGTATTTTTCTGTCAAGCAAACCTCTTTTTTAATTATACAACCATCTATTATCACTTTACAGAGTATTTGTCTCTGGAACAATAACTACTATACTGAACGAAATGAAGAGGAACTTAATGCACCATTTATGAATGGGACAAAAACTGAGAAGGCTATCCTTAAAAAACTGCTTTCGAAAAAGCTTAGAATTGTGAGCGTACTAATTTTGTGGCCA